TGTTGTCACAGAGGGATATGTCAGTGCCTGGATTCCATAGGGTGCCGGGGTGAGCGAAGCTGTAGGGTTGTAGGCGGCCCGCGAGACCAATTTCCACAAAGGCAGTGTCACACTAAACTTTAACCCCTAGGCAGACAAGCATCAGCTGCCCCAATCTGCTGGTTTAGGCGGTGATGAAAAGGTAACTCGGAAGCATGGCGAAGAACCCTGCGCATCTAGATATGCCAGCCGCTAGCGTTTCCAATGTAGTTTCGGCAAGGCCTGACTTAACCTCACGGGCTAAATGGTCATGGTCAACCTGTCTTGAACTTTTGCTTTCTGAGGGGACAGCACTAAACAGCGGCGGCAGAAACAATCGAGCCGAGAAGCAGCAACGGCAGACTTGCGACACTAACTGCTTGTCCACAGCCTACCCTGAACCACTCCTCTGTTGTGCAGTGATGCATCCACCGACCTCTCTATCCACCGCCTGAGCATGCATATGCTTGACACAGCATGGGCCATGAGCCACTGCATGAACAGCCCTGCACGCTCTCCCCTCTTCCTCTTTTGCTGTCTGCTTTGCCCTTTCACTCCCGCTCCCTCTCCTTCCCCTTTTTACAGCAGGCCTCGTACACAGCAGCCCGGTCCCCAGCACACTCGCTCACTGTACCCCTCCTTCCCCTAAACCCTAAAGCCTCTCTCTTTCGGCTTCTTCTTTCTCTGCCCCAGAACTCCTAAGGTACCGAAAGTGCCCAGAGGTGTGAGCAGAAACCTCGAAGAGCCGCTTTGGACGCACGTCCAAAGCTCAAATAAATCGATAGATAGGTAGGTAAATAATAAGGTGTTTTCGGGTTTCGGGCTTAGATAGAAATAGATAGATAGATAGACAGATAGACAGATAGAGAGATAGATAGGTAGGTAGATAAACAGATAAATAGTTAGATAGATAGGTAGATAGATAGATACCGGCTGAATGTAAAGAACATGAAAGCCTCGATCTTGCATCCTGCACCCTGAATCCTTAACCTCAAACCCTGACCCCTCAGCAAACTCAGGTTCCGTTAGCTGAAACATCGGCTTTTTAAGGTTAGTAGAACTGGCATGTATGTGTGTACATACATATAAGTAAACATGTATATGTATACATCTATACATACATATATATTCTGTATATATTTATCTTTTAATACATTGATGATATAAACAATTCCAAACTTCCGGGCTCCGCGCAAACCTGGCTCCTCTGGAGACTTAGGTAAACCAGGCCTGGAAAGCTCCATGCCCCAGCAACTTGAAATGAACATGGCTACCGTGAGCCTTTTGGACTCAACATAAAACACAGTTGCTACTAACCCCTTGGATTTGTATCATGGTAACTATCATAGCTTAATCTTTGCTGCAAACAGTTTCTACGGAGAGCCCAAGCTACTGCTGATTTGCTTGTCTTTGCTTTCAACGGTATGATAAGATCGTTCTGCGTGCTTGTCATGGTTCTGGATATGTGGTGTGATGGTAGGAATTTTGAGGAATAGTCTGTTACATCACAGGGTTTATTCACCGCACTGCTCTGTATGAAACTCCATATTCCAGCGAATGTGTCATTTGTCAAACGGTCTGTCATCTCTTCAACAACCAGTTGTATTTAGCTGCGTAATACCGTTTACCACATGTTATATAGGCCAATATAGGCGCCTTCACACACTGCACATGGTACATCATACGACTGCCATGCTTTTGGTCCGGTCATTTTCGCATGCCACCCAAGTTGACCATACAATGGAACGAATGTCGCAGCTCCGCACGCTCTAAGCTCGTTGCACCCAGAGGCATAGAGCGGGCTTGGGTAGCAGAGCACAGGAGATTGTATTGCAAATACTTCTATTCTGCCTTTTTTGGAGATGCCTCGAGCTGTTCATTGGGAGTCAAGATAACACAACACTCGGCACGAACAAACCTCTAACCGCAGCTTCAAGTGACCCCCGGCCTTGAAACGCGTAACACATACATGCACAACGTGCCAACCAAGAACTTCAATCAAAGCATCATCATGCAACTCAGTCAAGTCAAGTGGCAAATCCATACAACTAGGTATACCTACAAGTCGATAGGCACTCAGAAACAGTACGCAGATGCACATAAAGAAAACGTCTTTTGGCATATGCACACATACAAATGTAAAGACTTACAGTAGAGCACGCAAATCATATGAATAAGCATGTGTAAATCTACACGTATATACATAACTACATGCATAATGACATGTGACAGAGAGGGAGGGAGAGAAAGAGAGAGAGAGAGAGGGGGAAAGATAGACACCCTCCCACCCACCCACCCACCCAGCCGCACCCACACACACACATACACAGAGAGACAGAGACGGAGACAGAGACACAAACTCATCAGAAAGCCTAAACAAAGCTCTACCCGACTCTACCCTAAACCCGGGAGCCGAGGCTGCAGCCGGGATTGGGGCTGCCGAGGCAGTGAGCTTGGTGCCTCCGCCTCTGCCGAAAGCTCTGCATCCAGCAAGTCGAACTTGCCTCGGAGCTTTGGGTCTTCTTTGCGGGCTTAGGCTTTCAGGTTATGAAGTTGGCCTTGAAGAGCTTTGGGGAATTTTCGGCAAGGTCAGGCTTAAAGCAAGCCCGAGGCTTCCTCACACACGCGACACACTGTCCGAACCCGAACCTTCGAGCTGGGTCTACGGCTGGGCTGTGACTGCTCTGCCTCGGCACTGGAGCACTCTGCCTCCCAGGCTGCGTGTTGTCACGGTCGCTACCGTTGTTCCAGCTCAGTTGACTCATCTTTGTATGCCCTTTGGTCACGTCGGCTGCAATTGCCCAAATTTCTCATGTGTGTCCCGTGAATGAAGTATGCGCGGCTTCTCACACGTGTCAATGTAATAGATTTCTTCCTTAGCTTCGTCCACAGTAGCAATAATATGAGAAACAACGGAAGAGTTCGTTGTTGTCGGCGTCACCGCAGCAGCAGTACGTGTTGGTGGTCACCAGATTCTAGTCTACTTGCAGCTGCAGATCTATTGCAGCGGTCAATGAAAGAGTGTCTTGCTTCGTGGTGAATCTGTGCGCAATCACAGTAAGTACATGGCATGCCTGCAGCGATTACCTGAGAGCAGCTCGTCTCGAATAGCTCGAAACCGGCCCAAGCGTCAGAACACTCCACATACAAGCGTGTGAGACACATTGTGTAAGAAGGGATCCAGACCCTCCCACCAGCAACCGAAGACCAAACAAACAACGAAGAAGGAACACAGACGGACGTGTGACCTTGAAGACGATTCACAAACACCAAAAAGCTCTCGTCTGCTAGAAGCCTGGACTGCGACTTCCTCGGCCCCCGGGTCCTCCTCATCCTGCAACTCCTTGGCAAAATTGAGACACACACACACACACACGACCGGAAATCTAAGCAGAAACCGGGACCTCTAGCTGAGAAAGCCCAGATTATCGTGTCAGCAGGCGAACTGTCAGTCACAAGCAACTAGTGGGATGTCCTGAACGTCCTGGAAGCTGGATGCATTTGTGCTCTCCTCCCAGCTGGGGCCTGTCAGCACCGGAAAGCTCAAGCTCTTCTGTCACGACGGCTTGAGGTTTTGTTGCTACGAGAATGATAATCATCGCTTGGACTGGCACCTCATTTTTTTGAGGTCCTGCTCGACAAGACCCCACCCAACACTCGGAATCCCGCTTTTATGAACCCCACAGGCCCCGATAAGAGAAATCTCCCCTGAAGAGTAAGATGTCGACGGCTCACGAAGCTACTGTTTGCACAAGGCGGCTCCCAACTGTTAAATTAAAGGCAGTCTTCAGCAAGCGATTGCTCCGATTTCGGATTCTCGTCTTTGCAAGTGCCACTGTTTCATGCTGCTGCAACTGCTTGCCGGGCCACTTGGGATTTAGCGGTTTAGGACACTATAGTGCCCGTAATGATTGAAAGAGGGTTTGGGTTTATCCTAGAGTCCTAGAGCATATAAGACATGCCAAGGACTATACCGGAATCCTATTAATACAGTACTTCTTGGGGGTACATGATAAGATAAACTATGGTCAATGGTAGGGACCGTAAGGGACTCTATTAGTAAGTATTCCAACCCCTAGAAAATACCCTCCCTGAACTTCAAGGCACGAAGTCCCAGGCTCAATGTGCTTCATGGATCCCCACGCACGGCGCCGTAGGGTTAAGGGTTCAGGTTCAGGGGCTTAGAGTTAGAAAGACCCTGGGAGTTGCACTATCTCAGCCGCCGCATCTCCACTCCGCGATGGGGGCTACCTAACTTCTAGACTTGCAAGACTGTCATAGCTTTTGCGACACGCAATCTGCCAAACGGCACAGGGCATGGCATGAACAAGCCAAAGAGCTGGTTGGGAATGTTAGAGGCATGGTTTAAAGACCACACATCTTTAACGTTAGTGCTCTTATCCGATCGGCACCAATGTCCCCGGAACCCAAAGCCATGTCGGTTGCTATGACAAAGATACTCTGCAGACTTTCCCGAAATGCGGAAGGGACGGTGGTGCCTGGCTTCTAAGAACAGGAAACTTCACGTCTTTGCGTGTTCAGCTGACCAGCAATCTTTGCCAGCTCAGCTAGCTGGAACTACAGAGCCTAGGTGAGCATGGCACTAAACTGCTAAACCGAGCACGGTCTTGTTCAAGGAGTTATTACCGTAGTGGTAGTGATATATAAGTGATGATTCAATTCTTATCTTGGTGTGTCCCGCCACTCGAAAGACCACAGAAGAAACTTCGAATTGACGATATTTTGGGAAGCTTGGCATGCCAGGAAGTCGGGAGAAGGTTCAAAGCAACAGAGCCGTGCTTCGATGAGCAGCATTTAACGAATCGGACCACAGTGCTCACGTGGCTGCCACATTCCCCGAGACCACAAGGCCTGCTGGTGGGCGGCTGTCATCATCAGGTACCCCGTTCATGGGCCAAGATCTTCACAAGGGGTTCAAGAAAAGACGAGGGTGGCAAACTCCCAGCTTCTAAGTCTGAAGCTCACCTCCCGACGCAGACCAATAGGCTCCGTAGTGACTGTATCTGCCCACGGTAGGCATCAAAGTCCGGCTCAAAGTCCAGCCGGTCACTTGCCAATGCCACGCCATAGAACAGCTCGCCTAAGGGTAGACGGCTTTGGGATTCAAGGTACGCCCAATCAGCTCCGGAGGGCGCTGTGCAGGTAATCTTCGGGTGCTTGCTGTAGTTCATAGCAGCCTACTTCCCGACGATGACGCACCGTCGAGCTCGGCAGCAGGCGCAGCAGTAACTCACTTTGCCAACAGATAACAGCAATAAACTGCAATAGCAGCCGAATTGAACAGAAAGAATTCACGCCGTAGTACCGGCGGCTATTGGCAGTAGTATAGTAGTAGTAGTAGTCGTCGTCGTCGTCGTCCGGGCCATCTTGGCAGGTGCAGCCTGCATTCCGATCGCAACCTTTTCATTTCTTGGGGTTTCGGATTCTTCCGACTCCTGACCCACTGTCGAGATCAACATGTGCATCCCACTGCTTCAAAGCTGCCTACTCGATCTCTATCCGCTTCAATCCTGTAAACCCCCGAATGCCACGGTGGCTTCACTTCCCCTGAAAGACTCCTTGCAGGCCCGGCACCCAAGATCCTACCCAGCTCCTGCTTGGCCTGCCTGACATTCACCCACCTCAGTCACACAAAAGCCTGAAGAAGTAGCAATTTCAAGGATATACTATAGCAGTATTATCAGACAGCCTGAGGCAGAGTTTTCCCCACCTCAGTAGGCCCAGGCTTCCCGCCAAAGGGTCCGGATGCTCGTGGAGAGGTTGGACTTTCGGGAAGCCCGTTTTTCAGGAGAGTAGCACACCTCTATCAGGAGTTTACATTGGTTGCTCTTTGTGCTGGCTGATGGTCTCAAGGGTGACATAGCGGCGGAAGCTATGAAGGCTTACCGAGTTCACAGCTTACAATACCTCTAGTCTCCATTGTAGTTCCTTTTCGGGGATACCTTATAAGATCCTTAATGTATAGTTGGTTAAACCAGAAAAAGGAACTACAATGGAGACTATAGGCAGGATCCACAGGGTCTGATACCCGCGTACAGGGCCTTCATCTCGCAAGTTTCGTTAGCCGAGATTGGGGTGTAAGGGAAGCGGATGCAAGACAGCTTGAAGTTCGAAGCCTTCGGTGATGTTGGGCTCCACATAGTGTGCCTGAACCCTATAACCCTCTAATACCCTCGACCAGCGAGTCAAGGAGCAATTTTCGGAAGGGCGGCGAGAGCACTTGTGAAAAGAAGTCCTCTTGCAGGGCAGCCTGGAGGACACCTGAACAGGATCTGCTGCCAAACGTTTCAACCTCAACGCACCAACTTAACTAGACTTCCAACTTGGTGGAGCGAGTCATAGATCTGAAGCTTTGCAGCAGGCTGTGCGCTTGTGTGTTTCTCTGTCTGCTTCTTGTTCACTTCTCCTCGCACTGCGAAAACAACCCCCACCGCTTTTCCGGGGAGGGATACATCGTTTTTGGACACTCACACTCGGACAATGCTTGGCAAGGTCTGCAGCAAAACATAGTTTAGGGTTCAGGGTTGATAACACCAGAAACCGCTACAAACGGTTCCCTCATTCTTGACACTTCATGTCAAACAGCAGGCTTACGCCTTCAGCAACGCTTGACTGAACCTGCAAGACTATGTATGGAGAAAACTGTCAGTGTCGTCGCTGTCTAGAGAGGCTGCAATTACTGGAGTTGCTGCTGTGTGCTTTGATTGCTGCTGTTCCTGCATATGTACGTGTGAGCGAGAACAGAACTTGCATGCATGTCTGTCTGCTTGTCTATACATATACACATATACAACACACATACATACATACATACATACATACATACATGCATGCATGCATGCATGCATGCATACATACGTACATACATACATACATACATAGGTACGTATGTACGTACATACATACATACATACGTACATGCATACATACATACATACATACATACATACATACATACATACGTGCAGGCATACATACATACATACATACATACATACATACATCCATGCATGCATGCAGGCAGTCAGATAGACCGACAAACACACGGAAATACATGCCTACGTACATATGCATACAGATTCCTGTCTATGCGATATATGATATATGTACACTAGATATAATCAAGAATCATCCGCAGGGGCCTGGGCTGAGCCGATCTGTTTGGTATGCTGGCGGCCGAAAGTCCGAACGCCGGAAGAAGGGGCGGAATCCTTCCGGAAGCTGCTCCCAGGGACTTTGGTCCTGATCTCTGCAGGCATATGGGTAGTTTTCTAAATCAGGGTCCCTTTTTTCGGGTCCATAGTATAAGGGAGCCGTACTATATTGGGGACCCAAAAAGGGAAGCTACCCATATGGCTTGAGTTTACAGGGCCGACAAGGTCAATGTAAGTGCTCTGGAGAGACACCGCTATGGATCCCCTCTTCGACATGCTGAAGTGACGTAGGAACAATAGGAATACTTGCCGGACAGGGAAGGTTCTTTTCGCGAACACCCTCATGAGCGGGCACTCCGAACAGCGATTGCTGCAGTTGTAGTTGTTGTTGTTGGTGGTGGTGGTGTTGTTGGTGTTGTTGCTGCTGCTGCCTGTGCTATTTTGGTGATTTAGGAGCGGTTGTACATGTTGCAGTCATTCATTTCAGATAAATTCATGCTCACCATCATCACCACACGACAGCGACAACGACGGCGACGACCACGACCATGACCACGACTACTTGCTTCAGTACCACTATTATCACCACTGCAACGGCCACCACCAGTACGTCAACGACGACTGCTAGTTTTGCTGCTGGCAATGCCTCTGCCACTGCTACTCTTCCCGTTGCTGCTACGACCGCGACGACGACGATCAATCGACTGCCCAACAGCTACTGGGCTACCGGGATCTACCAGGCTTAAGACTTACGCATCCCGACTCTAACAGCCTACAACCCGAGCTGCTGTTGCATTTTGGCGAGGCTCGTCACGGCCGCTTAAACAAAAGGCTTCCGATGCCAAGATCCACAGGAACTCCCAGCCGACCCACCGAAACAGCTGCAAGGCTGCGTCCTCGGACGAGAGACGTCGGGGACTTCGCTGCTTGAGCCCAGTCTGCTCCTACTTATTGAAGAAAGCTGGGGATGCCGACTCCTTGCGCAGACTGCAACTTTGGGGTCCAAGGTCCAACATGGAGCCACGGGAAGATCGCGAAGCTGACACAAAAACCTAATTTATTGATCTCTTAATTCGGAGCCTGACTGCAATGACTGCAACTCCATGAAAACGTGTACAGGCAAGCAAACGAAAAACCTCCGAACAAGCAAACTTTCCTTTTCGGAGTCAACAAGCTGCCTGGCGGGGCGGCAGTGGTCATAGAAGCAAGACTTGATTTGCGCAAAAAACACGACGTGCAAAAGTCAAAGCCCAGCAGTCGTTATTATGTATGATGTCCTTGTAGGGCTACAAACCCTGAATTGATCCATTCCCAGCCAGTTTGGCCTCAAGACCGGAATAACCCTACGGCCCTGGAGCCAAGCGAAAACTAAATCCCGTTCCGAAGCCACTGCATCCCTACGAAGACCCAAGATCCTTGAACCCGCGTCTCCGCCGCGAACACCATGTCCAGTAACTATGATGTCCATTCTTGATTCTTGCACCTGTAGGCATGGAAGGGCTGCAACCAGGATGGAACCACTGTTACTTCCAGGAGCTGCATCCCAACATGTACAGGGGCTCCTCCGTGATGTGGTTTCGAATGTTTCGCCGATGCCCGTCGAGGGCAGCTGCATCGTATTTTTGCTGTGGAACGCCCCGATTCGGAGTTGAACTTACACACACGACCCTACATAAATCCATATAAATCCTAAAACCCGTGCAATCGCCTGACGGTCTGAGCACACGGAGGTTCAGCCCTGATGACCGCACTTCCATACCTTTCCTTACTTCTGGACTCAAGTCTAGCCAGATCACGACAATGCAACCATCGCGACTACCCCTAAACCCTGCAATACCCTTATAGATCCCTCAAACGGTCCCTTAAAGTTGGCCCAAAGAGGAAAAGGGCTTTCTGATTCCGAGCGTCTTTCGCCTCAGAGCTCTCGGCTGCGCAAGTTTCGACGAGGCCGTAGTCGATCAAAGCGACCTCGGGAGCAAACAAGATCGGGCTTTCACGGTTTCGGCGCTCACACTTTGTCACTCCAGCGAGGGGCTTCGAGGCCCTGGTTATTCTTCTCCCTCTTAGCATTATCACTAGTGGCCATGGTAGTACTGCAATTATTGTCAGTATGCTTACGGCTAGTTTTCGTAAATGATGAGTCCTGAGTGCCTTGAATTAATGGCAAGATTGCTGTACGACAAGGGATGGCTGGAATTTTCCTGCGGACAGCACAGTCGTAGTCTGCTTGAGCTGGAGCGGCGACTTTTGTGCGCTGCTCTGCCGAAACAAAGCCCCTGAGGGGTGCAAAAGTGATCCAGAGCTCGTGCTGGAGACCTGCTCAGCAGGTGGATCAAGCAGCCCATGTGCATGTGATGAGTTCTACGTATCAGGATGATCCCATGCTCGATTTGTGGTTTAGGGGCTTTGACCGCTTCTTGATCACATGTCACATGTTCGCAGCTCGCGTGCCTCATGTCAAACTGACAGCACAGCAGCGAGCGCCAACACAGGCAGCTAATGTCTCGACAGACCTGAGGCCTACGGGTCGTGGCTTGCAGTTCTGAAGAGGCTTAGGCCACCAGGTCTGCAAAATGTCCGTTTCTGGCAGTTACGAATCTTAACTCCCCACTTCTACACCATATTGTGTCTTTACTAGTGTGCTGGACCCGACCTTGGCTTTGCCAAGGACGTGATCAAAACCTTAAATAGATACCTTGGGGTGCATCTTCCAAGATGAAATACATGATCAGCTCGAATGAGTTCATCGAGTCACCTCTTGCATGCGCTTCACTCTGGCTTCCTAGACGTCCGGGCGGCCGGGAAGTCGACCTCTTCGGGAGGGGGACATCAGCTCGTTCACCTTTCCGACGTAGGGTCGCTCCGTCGTCTTGGCCCACTCGTAGTTGACCTTGAAGACCGCCACATGCGTCTGGTGGACGACATGCATGCCCCAGGCGGAGAGCAGGAAGAGCCCCAGGATGACAAAAGCGAAAATGCGAGAGTTGATGTGCGACATTTTGGGGAAGTTATTTGGATCATCAAGGTCGAAACTCATTGCACATCGGATTCCTGTGGAGAACAAGTAAAGTGTGAGACCACTCAGCAAGCACTTCACGGAGATGTGACGCCAGGACACGATGTTCCGATTCAAGTAGTAGCTGGTGGCAATCTCGAAGCCCGTGGGTCCTGCTGTTTCCAGACGATAAGTGTGGTATGTCTGTGCCATGCCGACGTAGACGGCAAAGACGTTCAGGATCAACACCAGGCTCATCAGCACGAAGCTTATGACTCGCATCCAGCCTTCGAAGGTGACAAAGTTGAACTCCTTCTTCATTTCAATGATGTGGCTCGAAGCAGCCACCATGAGACTCGACACCACGCTGAGCTGGCCGAAGGCAGCCAGCCTCTTGTTCAGGATGTTGCCTTGAAAGAACCGCGGGTCGTTTTGCAAGTCCATGGACTCGGATTGGATCACGCCGAAGGTGTTCTCCAAAATCCCTAAGGTGCATGGGAGTTCCAGCAACTGCTTGTGCTCCTCGTGCGCCATCCCGGGAGCAGTTGACAAACTTCCCTGCAGGACCGGTGATATGTCTGCCCAGAGCCAAAACCTGTGCCACGATTGATGCGGTTGGGCATTTGTGACACGCTTTTGTTCCTTCCCTCTCATGCTGGACAGCAGCTGACGAAGTTTCGGACAACGCACACTGATTTTGCCTTCAGGACACTGGATGTCGGCGCCGAAAAAGACACAAGGGACAGGCACGATTCACAGCGACAAGGTTTTGGGCGAAAGTCAAGACATTCGAGTTCGACGGTAAAGCCAAGCAATCCCCAATCCGAATGTCAATCTTCCAGGATCGAAGTATATGGCCGAGCTACCTGTAGAAGCCCATCCGGAGATGTACTCACCATGATATTCCTGGGATGCTCTCCATACACTTTGAGATTGTAAGTTTCTGCAGCGTTTCTCCAAACAAGGAAGAGGTCTCCATGTCTCGGAATCTCGGCTGTAACACGACTGGATTCATGATGCTCACTTAATGCAGTGGCGTTAACTCGAAGAGGGCCCTGGGCTTTACAACAATAATGAATCCAACTTCAACAAGGAATCCCTAGCTTCTATATTTCAGCGAGTAACCAGTAGATGATTTGAAATTTGATAGCTCACGTTTACTTGTGAGCCGAGCACACGTGCATGTCCTGACCATGCTACAAAACACCTCCAGGGGCCCCCGGGAACCCTAAACTCTCCCACCTACACGCTGGACCTCGACTGGGAGCTGAACCCCCTCAAGCCTCAGAGACCCGAATCCTGAATCCTCCTCCTGGAACTCCCAGACCAGGATCTGAGGCTTCAGGTCGAGATGAATCTGCAGAAGACCCTGCGCCTCGGCGTTTCCCAGAAGGGGCCGTTTAGGGCTTCGGGTTTCAGCCCTGACAACTAGGCCAGGCTGATGCTCTAGGGGTGTTTTTTGGGATTCGGGATATGGGGGTCGAGAGGCCCATCACTCAGATCCACTCGAACCAGCGTCATAGGAGCATGGCTGCGAGTACAGAGGTTGGGCAAATCCGACAAGGATGTGTTGCACCTTTCCCCCGCTCCCCTGACGTTTAACCTTCCTGAGCTTTCGAAAAGGAAGGCTCGCCGTGGGACATGGGTGGGTCGTTTATAGGCCAACTCAAAAATGGAAAGCAACTGCTTCAGGCCAGGAACATCCGGCATCATCATGTCGGCGATGATAGACAGAAGTTGGTCCAAGACATCCAGGGCCTGGGAGATGCGGAGAATACCTGGGCCCGATCTCGGGAAGCTCTTCCGACGATATCGTCGAAACCTGTTCGCAACTGCTGCAGCTAAGATTCCGCAGGGATGGTGGAACCGATACGCAGCATCGCCCAGAGTGATTCCCGGGGCACGTTCAAACCTTCTGAATACTTCAAGACCAATGAACCCTAAACCTAAACCGCAAGGCATGTGGACTTGGAGTAGTTTTCATCCCCACGGGCACACAGCAAAGAAATGATCGGCGCAATCAGCTGCGCTTCTGGTGCTGCCGATGCCCAGGCAGTCCACGTAGTGGCTGGGATCCCGTGCCTTCACTGAGCACAAGCCCGGAAAGCCGAGGCAAAAACTACTAAAGATGATGAATAATATGATGGATGACTGCCATCTGAGAGCTAGAGTGCTGTACCGCGATGCGAACGCAAGAGGAACAACCAGCACAACAGCAGCAGTCGAGTGCAAGTGTCATGCAGTTCCAACAACCTTCACACAACAGAAAATCATAAGAAGAGGAAGGAGCTTCAGGCCATTCGTTTCTGGGATGTCATAGCAGACCCGCCTTCATGCACCGGGCGAAAGAGGACTCCTTGACAACCTCCGTCCAATCATTCCGGCGGAATATCTTCACCACCTCGTCCAGTCTCGGAGCTTGGGGCTTCGAGTTGAAGTAGGGTCTCTCCACCCTGTGCCTATGCTGGCCCAGGCTTCAAGAGTTGAAGATTCGGAAGACAAGGGTGGAGGGTGGCGGGCGCAGTGAAATCATCCGTTCTCCCGCCTTGTCCGGCATGCCAACAACCGGATAGACTTGACCATAAGCTCCTGTGTCAGGTTGCTCCTTGCGGTTTTGTCAGTGACATGGGCATGTATACTACAGGCTGTATGTTTACATTACTCGGTCATGTACAGACTGCGATTCCGTACTGTCCGTGCCACCATTAACAACTGGCAATCTGCATCACCTGCAGCATCACTAGCTGCAGTGCCAGCACCAGCATCGCCGGCACCACACCCATGTTAGCGTTAGCATTATTACCACATCTTGCCACATATTACCCTCATCGTCGTCATGGCTATTGCCATTGAACTTGAGCAAAGTAACTAGAATAGATTGCGGATGCCGTTGCTGCTGAAATTCTTGGTGTTGCTGAGGTATCGCCGTCCCGGCCGTTTTTTGGCATCCACAGAATGCACACTCTCACTACCGTACTACAAGCAGTGTCGTACCGTTGCCAGTCTTTTCTTGCAAGTACTGACCTTTGCATGTTTGGACGCACACTGCCCATACTGTTATGGGTCGCTTCTTTCTAGCGCCGCTGTTCGACTGCTACTGCCACTTTGATGTACCTTCTGATGGTAACTGAACATAACTTGCGCGCTGGAATGGCGGCCTGGACCTAAGTACACCAGCCCTTGCAACCACACTCCTGCTCCGAGCTTCTTGTCGAAGTCGGGCCTTGGAATGGGATGCAGCATTTTATGATCACGTATGCATGTGTATATGTAGACAGGGAGAAGAAGAGAGGCATACTGAGAAAGAGTGAGAGCGAGATGAAACACATTATGTCTATACTGCTTTAGATCAAAACAAATTAGTAAGTACATATACACACACACACCTTTATACATATATGGTCATATATATATACATATGTATATATATATATATATATACATATGTGTGTGTGTAACTGAATGAATATAAAAGCGTTCTTCCCCAGTCATTTTGCTGATGCCACCGTATATTGTCATTTTTCCCTCGACATTTCGAACATCTGTGATGCATGCAAGCTGGACCCAATGCAACGAGACAAGGTTCAAATACCTGTCGAAGCTGACTGTCGAGATGTCCGCTGCCTCACTGTCGCACAGGCGCGGCTTGCCTTCAGAGCAGAGCAATGAAGACTTTGAACAACTACTTCCTCAAAGGGTTGTGACTCTCTTTCAATCCATGCCATGTCATCAACTTACGATTGAACTGAACAAGCCTTCGTAGATCGAGCGCAGAAGAGTGGGCAGACTCTCGTGGTTCTCCGAGGTTGACGTCTTTTCAGCCTCAGCTGATTCGAAATCGCAGGCTACAAGGTTAGCCAGACATCAGCTTGTCGATGTCGACGACGTCGACACCCCGGCACAAGGAACTCGAACCTCTCGAACCGGAGTTCAAGAAACATGTTAAATGGTCGCACTGCCAGAGTTCTGCTCTCTTGCCGTTGCTAGTGTCTGTCGCAGACGAGCGGCGCACCGCTGCGAGCATCCCTGGTCCGGGAGCCCAGTGCTGCAAAGCGTCATCTGGGCAGTTCCATGGCATTCGAGCCAAGCTGATGACGGGCATCCCGGTGATGACAGACTTTTATGACAAGAACATCTGCTTTCACGATTTTGTCTAAAGAACATCCCCGTTGCGCACCTGTGCCCAGCACCCCTTGCAGCTCTCGCGGTGACGGCCGCACGGAGGAGACGGGGGTCAGCTCTCGCCCCTGCCAAAAAACATGGCACCCGAACGGCTTCTGTTTGAGGCTTTCGGGAGCTTCGGGCTTGGAGCAGTTTTAATTAAGGCTCCCTTTTTGGCCCCAGAAGTCCGCAAAAACTGGATGAATGCCATCGGTCTCCAACCCGGGGGCTGTCCTCGTGAAGTCGTCTTAAACCGGCGGGCTCCCTCCATGGGTAGTTCTCTAAACTAGGCTTGCTTGTAGGATCCTTCTTCATAAGGGTGCCGTACTATATTGGGGACCCCAACAAAGGGACCCTAATTCAGAGAACTACCCTCGTGAGGGTTTCGACTTTAAGGTTTCAGGCGCTTTCTGAAATAAGGGACCCCTGTAATCGCGGACCCAGCTGACAAACCCAAGTCACGTCAAAAGGCTGCGGCTTTCGACGTCGTAGCTGCAGGAAGTCGCATGGTATAGGCTCCCCTGCGTACTCCTGACCCTCGAGGGTCAAAGCCTCAACTGACATTCTAGGTCTTACGCCTCGAGCCTCCAGCAGGGATTCTCCGAAGCCCTCTGAGCCCTCAAACCCGAAACCCTAAACTCAAAACATAATCCTTTTAAACTATAACCTCCTGAACTCAAATCCCTTAGCTCTGCTCGAATCGCTTTAACTTAAGCTCTAACCTCCGATACATAAACTCCAACATGAAGCATGAAGATCCGATCCTAAACTCTAAACCCTGATCCCAAACATGAACTTCCAGCCCTTTCCAACCTCCGACTCCTTGGTGCACCACTTGCCTTTGCCAGCTGGCTTGCCTGAGTCTTTTTGCCTCCTACTTCGCAAGGACAAGCCCACGTCTAGTCTTGGGTTTACGCTTTTAGGGGTTCAGTTAAGGGCTTCTTCTTTGACGACCCTTTTCCATCTTCCAAGATTTTTTGCCATCTTCCAAGATTGTGGCTTTGGGTTTTTCCCGCCTGCCCAGCTGACCAAGTCGGGGTTTTGGGTTTAGCGCCTCGGCTTGAACATAGGGGCCTTCATAATTAGAACAGGGCTCCAGGGTACATCATGCTACCGTTCCAGTAGGAACTTGAAGGAATTGCATGTTTATTGTTTCAAACTATGTATTCAAGCCCCTATAGTACCGTGACCCCAGGAGATCGTCGGCTCATGAAGCCTCTGTAGCCTTTCTGGATGTTCCTCTATAACTGTGGAGTCGGTTGTTTTAGGGTTGGTTTCCTCCCACTTCATGGTTTAGGACTGCAAAGGGAGTGCCATCATGACTTCAAGTGATTTTGTTGGCACTACCGGTATTGGGCTCAAACCGTCTAAGTCCTATGTAACATCACGCCTGGAGATTTTGAGATTCGCGCCGTACTGCCACTGTCCCTCGTAGGACAAGCCTTGGGAGCCAATATTTTCATTGCCGAACGATTTGTTTGCACGGCTGACTTTGCTTTGGTCGTTGCCTTGGCGAACGGCTTTCGTTCCATCAGTCCCACCCCAAATAATATCAACAATGATGTCAAAGGGTGGGATTCCGGATCGAGATTCGAAAACACCATAGTTTTTGGATTTGCTGCTTTCGGGTCAACCGACTGCGTTTCCCACGTTACCGTCGGAGTGGATTTGCATCCGGTCGCGGTTGCTTTTCTCCGACTAGAATCAAGTTCTTCCGTTTGGATAATATTATTACCATTATTCAGACAACTATTTCTATCATAATATGAGACACGAAGAAGCCGAGCCGCACACAGCAGCACAAAGCAACGATTCCTTGCCAATGCGAACACAAAACACGATGGCCCAGAAGACGGCCGGATGGTATTAATTCTACAGGGTTGTCCTATAAACCCTAAACCCCAAATTGTCGGACACCCTCCGTGTGCCTCCGTCTGAGGCGGGCCCTTTAACGCAGACCTCCGGCCCAAATCCGAAGAGAACTCTTACTGAAACATGCCAAAATATTGCAAACGAAAAACTGGAACATGTATCCACCGTATATGTGTGTAGGTATGTATGTATGTATGTATGTATGTATGTATGTATGTATGTTAGATCGATCTTGTAGATGCATAAAAGCTAGGAGCGGCGTTGTGGGGAATTTTTCGGGATGCGGCAGGTGGATGCCTACAGGAAAAAAAGAAATCGCAATACTTCACAACCCTGGGATGCACAAACACCAACCAGCCCAAGGCTCTTGAGACCAGTGCTGCAGTGTAGATGGAAAGACGATTTGGGGATGCAAGAAGCATGCAATAACGAGCCCGGGACAAGCAAGGTGCGGCAAAGGGCTCTGCCAACCTTTTTCTGCTCTCCCTCTCTCTGATCACCATACTCATAACATTTACCATACTAATCATGAGTAATAATAACAATAAAGTAGTGGCATTAGTAGTAGTCGTCGTCGCGGTGGTGATAAGCGTAGTAGTAGTAGTAGTAGTAGTAGTAGTAGCAGTAGCAGTAGTACTACTACTACTACTAATAATAATAATAATAATAATAATAATGTTAGTCTTTCCGGTTTTGCTTCCGGACTGGGGAAGTCGGCCGCTTCCTTACTCCTGCCGCGTAGCCATCTGCGTAAACAATGGACCCGAAGCCGTGAGGCTTTGCTGCCCGGAACCTGAGGCGGAGAAGTTGCAAGATTCCTCACCTACGGTAGCAAGTACGGCAGCTTCTGAGCTGCCAACTGGCCTTTGTACTTCTTGCGGTCATCCTGTCATGGCCAAGCAAAGCAGGGGAGAGCCGTGGACAACTTTCAGCCGAGCAGCAGAAGACAACTGGAGCCAGATGCTCAAAGCAATAAAAAACACATGATGTAGGTTTAGGGGGTTTCGACTCACACACTCGCACAAAGGCAGGGTTTCGACTCTCACACTCGCACAAGGCCGGCAAGGCTCCGCATAGTTCAGGGTTTAGGGGGTTTCGGGCTCCATGCATTATGACATCATTATGAGCATACGGCCGAGAGTTGAAAAAAGACGTCACCATCCAGTAAAGCATGCCAGCTCGTCCCCGTAGGTGAGGGTTCCTTTGCCCTCCACCTCGCCCTTGACCCACTGGCCCTGGGCACAGTGCAGGGCACAGAAGTGGTGGCCTTATCCCAAAAGCTGGACCGCCCTCGCAACTACGATGATGATCAGGCACGATTAGGCATTAGGCCGTCAAGCTGAACCACTGGCGACAACAATGAACAGCTGCGAACTGGAATAACGCAGCTAGCAGACAACAGCAGTAAGAAACAAGCCCGCAAAACATCACAAGTATTGGCAGTAAAAGAAGGGGTAGCCTTGACCAATGCAACTTCCGGAAAAAGCGCTAAACTGCAGTAATTCGACAACGGTAGAAACAATAAGCATGCAGCTGCTGGCAAAGACCGACCCAGTGCCACCAAGAACGGCCATGGTAAGAAGTGCAAGAGACAAGGAACAAAAACATGGTTGAATCAAGCAACATATTGAATGCCCAACGGTTCAAGTTTCCATAACCTTACCTTGAAGCTGACCGAAGCTCAGGATCTCGCTTAACATCGACCAAACTGAGAAGATCGAAACTAAACCGAGGGCGTTTAAAGTCGCCCGAGCTCGGCCGAAGATTTCAGGCGAAGAGCTTCGAAGGTCTTGCCGTCCTGGCGGCAGCTCTTGATCTGGCTTGTTGCGGGAGCTGCATGCCAGGCCGGATAGGACCCTCCACCCTCGGCCACAACAATCCCGAAAGCCTTACGCACAGAGACACACACAGAGACACAGGCACAGACCAAAGCAACAAACTAAACGTCCAACCACCACATGAGGCCCGGTGCCTTCAACCACGGTCGAAAATCCTCTACATCGACGTCTTGGGGCTCGAACTGTCTGGCCATAAACCGTCTAAGCCCTATACCCTATACACCCTAGCCTCTTGGACTCTCCCCCTTGAGTTTAACTTCTTGAGCTCCTCTGGGTTCTGGCTCCCGAACCCCTTGTAGAACTCACCGAGCCCCATCAACCTGGCGCTGAAGCCCTGAAATCTTGGGGAGATTAGGGCGACAAAGGCTTCTTTTGAAGGAGGTTCTTAGGGTTATCTTTATATATATATATATATATTCATTTATTTATTTATATTTGTATATATATATATATATGTGTGTGTGTGTGTGTATATATATATATATATATGAGAAGCGCTACGATAAGGATTCTATGGCATGGTACTGTCAGGCCGGGTGTCCGGAAGATGCAGCTTGCCGGCGCCATGCTGCTTGCCCTTTCGCCAGCTCCCCTCCTCGGATAAGTACAAACCATCCGGTTGCAGAAAACAGACGAGCTCGAGGATGATGAGAATAACGGTGTTCATCAGCTCTATCTCACACTTCCCCATGCTTCAAGTGCCGGTCTCCTGTCCTGAACATGCTCATGTGATGGCGTATTGGGTGTAGTCTTTGCCGGGCAATAACATGCATGGAGCAGGCCTTTGGTTGTGGTCGGGGGTGGAGACGCCAGCCTTGATTTCCTTTCCGGATCCAACATAATCGCCTACAAACTCTCGACACCTCCCTTCCTCTTGTTCCTACTACCTAGTTGGGTGCCCGAGCCGCTGGCCGCCCTCGAGTTGCTATTAGCACTCTGCAATACACTTTGCCCTTATCCTGCGAACAAGTAGACTCCAAACATCCCTAGGAAGTAGGACCCCTGCAATCAGAAGCAAAAATGGACACCGGATTCTAAGAACCCACCCAACCAAACTTCCTCGGGCTCGCACGAAAGTCGTCCCATCGGCCAGTTGAAGATAGCCTTCGTCGTGGAAGCGCCCCTCGCTCCATTGGCCGGTATAGCAAGCACCGTTAGCCTCAAAGAAGTCTTGGTAAGCACCGCAAGTGTTGGGACATCAACATATTCCACATTGATGTACATTTGTATCTGTCTGGGGGTAAGTATGTACATACATATATAAACATCTGTGTATACATACAGTAGACATATTTAAGCACACACACACACACACAGGAGCTGATATCAACCTGGCACTTACAGAAATGATGTGTTTTGGGCTTCTGTGGCCTACGAAGTCTCCCGGCTTCGGATGCGGGAGTCAGGGAAGGACCCCGGCTGGGGAGCTAAATCCAACCTTTTGGAGCGCATGAGAGTTTAGGGTCTCTCTGATAGGATGCATACAGTAATTGTTCTGCGTTACGGTCAACCGGGCTCGTTCGTATGTTTGATACGGATATAGACATGCCATTCACTCACTCGTACATGCATCCACAGAGATCAAGTCTCAACGAACATGCAAGAACCGAGCCTGTATGCTGGACAGTTGTTGGTGACATGTCCGTTTCTTGCTAGGAGGAAACGCCAAGCTTTGTGTGGGACAGTGAAGTTTGCCTTAAGAGCTTCGACATTGCCACTTGTCAGGCTTACACAACCTTGAAGGATGTTGGAGTAGGAGTTGGTGCTTAGAAATGCCTCATCGACAACAACTTTGACAGGAACCAGTGGTGGCTCAAGAGGAATCGCAGACTGCTCCAGAGTTCGCTGTTGGGGAGAGTGCCCCAACCTTAGCCTTAGCCCTTCTCCATTTCAAACACGGTAGTCATAACAATAACTTAGCTTAAGACACAACAATAATAAGACGGTTGTTTTTGCAAGAGTAACAACAGTAAGTATAACCGCAAACCCTGAACCATAAGCCCTAATGAACCGACTCCTCGGACTGGGGCGGTGGCGGCTTCTAAGAGCCCGTCACCTCGGTGCCCGGATGTCAGCAGTTCTCAGAGGTGTAAGGGAGGGGTTTATTAGGGATTAGGGCCAGGGGACCGGGGGATGATATTGGGGACCAGGAAGCTTGAAATAAGGACTGAAGCACCGGTGTTACATTGGTGCTACTACTCATCCTCATGCTCCATGCTCCGTTTTATCTAGCAGCTTCTAGCAGTGCCCCGACTCTACGATTTTGTTGAACCGAGACTCTGCCGGAAGCACCGCCTCCTCACGAGAGGTCCCTAGAAATTCACCGCAAACTCATGACCTGATTCAACGAGTATTGAAAATTGGCAATGCACCTGTACTCCTTCCAGATTGACCTATTCCATGAAGCCAAGAAGCCGTGATTCGTGGGTGTTCGGAATTCTGTTGTAGATGAATGCAGGCAGGTGGCCGTGCATCTGATTGTCTTTCCAGTCCCCGACATAGCGACCAATCTTGGGATGAGACCTTATGAAGTGCCGCTTCATAAGGGCATGAAGGGATTGTAGAGTTTTAAGGCCTGTAGATTTGCGCCAGGCGGGCAGAGCTGCATACTGCATCCAGCTACGCTTCGCTACTCTCTTTCAGACTTCAGACTAAGGTTTGGGGATCGAAGATTGGCAAGGGGCTTCAGCTTTCGGTTCTCATGCTGGTTTACCTTCCGAGCTACTTCTTGACGGCTCGGGTTCAAAAAGCGAGGTGGTTGTTTCTGCTGGTCGGCTGGCTCATCGATTTCGACTGGCGCACTCGCACGGATTCCAGGCAATAAGTCCGAGACGAGACCAACAGGCTGCACTGGCTCATCGATTTGGGGTAGTATCGTGTACGGCTACTGGGCATGCGTCTGAGATTCAAGCATTCCAAGCAACAAACAAGGTGGACTTGAGCTAGGATTAGTACACTGTTCAGATATCTAGCTCGGTGCCGTAGCTAGAAACAGTGCCATTGAATCAAGCTCTAAAGCTGGCGACCGACAACATATAGCCGGCCTTAGGCCCCAAACATCCCCACACCCCTTAGCATCTGGGCTCGATGCGACTGCCCTGAGGCTGCCTAAGCTGCAATGAAACCCCAATAGAGGAACGACCCCCCCCCCAAAACTACCAAAGATGCACCGCTGACGAGAGCAAGTTTTCGCCGACTCCGTAAATCAGGACGAGATTATTGTGCACTTGGTACAAGTGCCGGCAGCAATGCTCGCTTTTGATTCGGATTCGGTGCGCAGGCACGATCTGCCAGTATCACGCTGGAAAAACCAACTCTTGCCTAGCCGGCATGAGCCAGTGATAGCACACATTCCAAAGGAGAGGGCTAAACACCCTTCCCTCCCTGGAATATGCAACAGCATAGAACAAAACTAAATTCTGCGGCAGCTTCATCCCAGGCGATGTTGGGATTAGACCCAAATTCGCCACGACGCACCTTTCCCAGCCCTGAAGACAGGCTTTGTTTTTGCCAGGCAGGTGAATACTAAACATGGAGATTCTGCTGCAAGATTGAGGGACAAGCAGCTCGTTTTACGTGCAACTGTCCAGAACAAGTTATCGCTTGGTAGCGGTAAAACAAGAAAGTCGATAAATAACACTGCGACTCAACTAACCCCTGGTTAGCTGTCGGCTACCTTGGCAGCTTCTGTGTCTGTCTTCGATATGTCCTCCAAAGTGGTCGTCTTGATCACGCTTGGCCCGAACATGGACATGCAGACGGGGAGGAAAATCAACCCGTGTGAACCGCCTGCCACAACAATGCCAAAGAACATCTGGAAGAACACGCGGAAGGCCTGGCTGGCTGAGAAGGCCAGGGGCAAGATGGCCAAGAAGGTTGTGCTGACGCCCAGGAAGATAGGCTGTCCCATTTCCTTCATGGCCAGCTCAGCCCGCTTGGCACGTGGCAACGATCCATCTTGGAGCCCGAAGCTGTGTGCCATGTGCATGGAGTAATCCACCACCAAACCAACGGCCATGACAAGGTTGATCATAGAGATGGAGTTGAGAGCCAGGGACCATAGCACGATGTTGCCCATCAGGTCCATGAAGACCAGTGCGAGGACGAGCAGTACTACCATCACTGAGAGGGGATGGGCCAAGACCAGCGCACTAATGAGCAGCACCGCCGCCAGACAGAGCGCAATGCTAACTGTCATCTGCTCGACAATGATACGGTACTGGTCAAAGAAGATATACGCCGGGGAGCTGACAAAGCTTCCAGGCAACGCACTTTGCCACTGCGCTGTGAAAGCCTCTACCTCTTCGAGCAAGGCTACCTGCTGCTTGCTGTTGAAAGTGTCGATGTGATTGGCCCGAAGCCGAATCACCTTGATCTGCCCATCTTGTACCACGACATCATCTTCGAACGCCCTGCCCATCGGCGTGGAGAGGAACTCCTGGAGTGCGGTCAAGAACGTGCTGCCGGTCACCAGGTGGCTGGTGCAAGTTGTGACGGCTGAGGGCAAACCTGCCTGGCAGCCGGTTCGGTTGGTCTCGACTGCCGTGAAGGCACTGTCTGGCAGGGACGCCAGGACACCCTTGTTCTGCAAGGCCCAGAGTGTAAAGATGGTGTGCCACGACTGAAGCCCCCGAACGGAGTTGACGTTGCTGAGAGCCATGAGCTCGGCGCCGGCCTCTTCCAGATGCCGCTGCACTGCCAGGGAGCTGAAGTCCTGGTCTGCAACGTACAAGGCCGCCGGCAAGGCCAAGCCACCTGTTGACAAACCACCAAAGTGGAGGTTCTCCTGGTTGTAGAAATCCCGCAGGTAGCTTTTGTCGGGGGACAGGTCCATGATGTCAAAGTCCGTGCTGAGACCTAGGCTCACTTGCCAGGCAGACACTGCAGCCACCACGAGAAAGAAGACGATGGTAGCGAAGGAGATGGCCGGGTGGCTGGTCAGGAATTTGATCATGGCCACGAGGAGCCTTTCAAGCGGCGCCGAACCCTCTGAGATCTTCTTGCTGGGCATACACGATGCACCGGCCCCAACACAGAAGCAAGGGTCCAAGCGAGGGGGGTCTGCGCTGGCACGCCTTGCATCGAGGGCTAGCAGGGCACAGAAGGTGGTGCAGTGAAGAAGCCAGATGAAGAAGCAGGACACAGAGGCGTAGAAACAGAAGTATTGGACGGAAGGGAACACGCAGGTGGCCCCCAGCAAGAAAGAGGAGATGGACGTCACTTTCGTCAAAGTGATGGAGACTCCCACGCGCTGCATGGCTTTCTCGATCCGATCTGGGATGCTCAGGGAAGGGTCGACAGCATCGAAAGCACCGGAGATAACGAAAGCGTCGTCGATACCAATGCCCACCAGAATGAAAGGGAGGATCTGCTGCAGCACGGTAAAGGGAACTCCGATCAGCATGCAAGTGCCATAGCCTGCGATGCAGCCGAAGATCACCAGATAGAACTCGACCGCCCCCAGCAGCCTGCGGCTCTGTGTCCAGGAAGCCGTCTTTCCGAGGAAGATCGAACAGAAGGAGGCCATCAGCACGAAGGCGATGGCAAAGAGAGGAATGTCCGCCTGCACTGTTCTGTTCAATTCGTCGTCTTGGGAGCGCTCTGCCTGCACGAAAGCGTTCACGTGTTCGTAGCCTTGCTCAGTGAGTTGGTCCTTGGTGAAGTGCTGCACGAGAGCCTCCTCCCACTTCATCATGGCCTCGTCGGTGGCATCCAAGATGAAGTCAACGCGCACTGCAGTGGCGCTCGTAATGCTACCGCTGCCGTCGCGTGCAATGCCGCCCATGGAGTCGTCGGCGAAGGCTGGGGCACCGTCTGGGAAGTTGGCCTGGTTCACAGCAACCAGGATATCGGCTTGGCTCTGGACCGTCTGATTGAAGTCGGCACTGGTACCGGTCCCAAAATAGCGGCGGATGCCAGGATTCAAGCAACCGGAGGAAACCCGGAGGCACACATCGGCAAAGCTCTTTCCATCAGCATCAGAAAGTGCTTTCACATCATCAGCCATGCGGAAGATTTCGGCCATCGTCTCCGGTCGCAGAATGTTCCCACCATCCTTCGCCGTGACCAAGACGCGATTCACGCGGCCGGCGGTGGTGAAGTACTTCTCAGTCCACTCCAAGTCCTTCATGGCCTGTGATCCTTGATCCACCCACAGATCACGAGCTTCGCTCACGGCCGTGAAACGCAAAACCCCCAGCGCACAGAGCAGGCAGCCCACGACGGTCACTGCAACACACTTCCATGGGTTGCGAGCACAAGATTTCGCCACCCTGCCGAGTCCATGGGCCACAGACTCCTCCGCACGCGAAGTGCAGGAAAGCCAAGCCTGCAGGGGCGACATGGCACTGCTTCCTACCTGCTGCAGACGCTTCGAGCCGCAGGCTTTACTTGAGCCAAATGCTCGTAATTGTGGACACAGCCACGGTCCCACAGGAAAGTAAAACAGGGTCAATGATTCTTCCTTCCGGGTCGTTCGTCCAGTCCTCTGAGGACCCGTCGCCGTACTCCCACTGACCCATGTAGACCTGAGGCCATGCAAAAAGCTAATTTTTGGACTGACATAACCATCAAGCTTGGCATCCACGCGGTGCCGCTTTGCAGGCGCAGCACGCCATGTCCGTGACGAAGGCCTCACAAGTCATGAGCTGTTTAGGTCTACACGGCGCGTACTGGTCAACACAATGTAGCCGTTCGAGGGTGCGGGGTTTGACTGCTCAAAGCGGCGGCCTTGTTCAACACCACCCTCGAAGCCGAACCTGGTGCCAAGGCAGAGCCTAGCGCTTAACATGTAAGATTGGAGCTGGCACCTCTTGCGCCGGCAGCAGCCGAAGGCCATGTTGAGAACGGGGGCATGGCCAAAGAGCTGTTCAATGTTCTCGTGGGCGTCGACATGGAGTGCCAACAACGGCTGAAGAGGCTTGCAATGGCCCGCAGGAGTG